AATTTGGATGCATTCTGTCCATACCCAAAAGTTTTATGGAATGTAGAACTTAAAGGTGCTGACACAGTGTACTTGGCAGAAGAAATTTCTAAGCAGCAAAGCATTCAGGAAGCTGCATGGCTACTTGCAACAGCTTACAGTGAGTTACGGCAGAAAAGGCATGACATAAAGCCAGAATTCACAATTCAAAAGAAAGCAGAGGGCAAGAAATTGGAAAACTTTCAGGCTGGCCACATAAAGAGTGAAAAAGATGTCTTTAGGAGAGGAATGCAAGGGTAGCCTAGCAACCATTTGCTAAGGAGATTAGTACAGAAGAAAGGGATTATCAAGAGAATGGAAAAAACATTTTGAAGGTATTTCAGAGATTTTTGAGGCTGCCCCTCCTCCCATCACAGGGCCAAAGGCCTAGTGAAAGAGAATGGTTTCAGGAAATAGGCCTGAAGCACCCTCCATGGGCTCACTGCACAGGGCCACCTTGGGATGCTGGTCCCCACACCCTGGCTGCTCTGGTTGCTCCAGCTGTGCCTAAATTGGCCCCAGGGATGGTTAGACCCGCAGCTTTGGAAGCTACAAGCCAGAAACCTTGGTAGCATCCATGTGAAGTTAAGTCTGCAGGCTTTTGGAAAGCCATAGCTGTGCTACCCAGATTTCAAAGGATTTGTGAAAAAGCCTGGGGGTCAAGATAAGATCTGCCATCTTGTGTGGGGCAGAGTCACCACACACAGCCTTTGCTAGATTAATGACAAGTGGAAATTTGGGGTCTGAGTTGCAGCAGACACCCCCCCCCAACAGTGTCATGTCTAGTGGACGCATGAGAGCAGGACTGCCTGGAGTCCCCAGAATTGTGGAGCTACCAGCATGCAACACCAACCTGTGAGAGCAGAAGAATGACCTGAGACCAGGAAAGTCATAGGGGCAGAGCTGCCTGAGGACTCAGAGGCCCAATCCTCACACCAGCAAGCAGAGGATGCCAAACATGGAGTCGAGGTACATGATTTGCCAGCTTTAAAAATTTAATGCCTGCCTTGCTGGGTTTCAGACCTCCTTAGGACCTATTACCCAATTCTTTTGGCCTATTTCTCCCTTTTTGAATGGGAATATGTATGCTATGTTTGTTCCTCCACTGTAGCTTGGAAGTAGATAACTTGTTTGATTTCACAGTTGAAAGTTTTGCCTTTAGTCTCAGATGAGATTTTGGACATTTGAGTTGAAACAAGACTTTGGGCCAAAATGAATTTATTTTATGTGAAAAAGACATGTTTTGAGGGGCCAAGGATGGAATGCTGTGGATTGGATGCCCCCCAAAGCTCACTGAGGCTTAATCCTGTGACAGTGTTAAGAGGGTGGGAAATCAAATGATTACATTGTGAGGACCATGCCCTAGGGAATGAATTAATCCACTGATCATTTAATGGTTGTCATGGGCATGGTTCTGATGACTTTGAAAGGAGAGCATGAGAAGCTCTCTCTCTCTCTTCCCCTCACTATAGAGCCACCACCAAGAACAAGGCCCTCACCAGATGTGTTCCCTGGACTTTAGACTTCTCAGCCTCCAAAACTGTAGGCAATAAATATTTCTTTACAAACTACCCCATTTCAAGTATTCTGTTATAAGCAACAGAAACGGACTGATACACTTGGTATCATGGACGAAACCCTTGTATTACCATTCATTCTCTAGTAAGGCAAGTAATACTAGAAATAATTAGTTTATTATTATAAACTAATTAATAGTTTAATAAATAGTTTAAGGGCCGGCCCGGTGGCGCACTGGATAGTGCGCCGCTTGGGAAGTGCGGCGGCGCTCCCGCCCAAGGGTTCGGATCCCACATACGGACCGGTTCCCGCTCACTGGCTGAGCGAGGCGCGGGAAGCAGCACCGAGGGTTGCGATCCCGTTGCCGGTCCCCGGTCCGGTACGGGGGCAACACTGAGGGTTGCGATCCGTTGCCGGACACGGAAAAAGACAAAAGACAAAATAAATAAATAAATAGTTTAATAAATAGTTTAAGGGCCGGCCCGGTGGCGCACTGGATAGTGCGCCGCTTGGGAAGTGCGGCGGCGCTCCCGCCCAAGGGTTCGGATCCCACATACGGACCGGTTCCCGCTCACTGGCTGAGCGAGGCGCGGGAAGCAGCACCGAGGGTTGCGATCCCGTTGCCGGTCCCCGGTCCGGTACGGGGGCAACACTGAGGGTTGCGATCCGTTGCCGGACACGGAAAAAGACAAAAGACAAAATAAATAAATAAATAGTTTAATAAATAGGATGAAATAATTGCAGGATGCTATGGCAGCAGAGGAAGCATACACAATTGTAATGAGTGTTCCCTCTTATCAATTTTGCTTGGCCTAAACTTTGTAGATAAGTAGAAATTTGTCAGATGGACATTAGGTCAGGGTTCATTCTGGTAATTAGTTTGCTAGTATGGTACAGCACACAGGAGAAAAAGCAGGGACAGATCTGGAGAGGAAGGGATCACATTATGAAGACCTCATAAAGGAAAGATAACTAGAAGCTATGGGGAGGATGCCTTAGACGAGCCAGATCAGAAGGAGACAATTAAGAGGCTATTGCACTATGCCAAGCAAGAAATGATGGCCTAAAAAGCAGTGGCAGTAGGACAGGAGGGCAGGGTGCAGAAGGTAAGTACTTATACTTTTTCCAGATACAAAGCAAAGCACATTCAATCTAGATAACAAGCCCAAGAGGTAGATGTTCCTATTTTTACACAAAAGGAAATTCAAGCTCCAATGGATGTTACTTGCTCAAGATGACACAGTTAACAGTAGAGGAGCATGGATTCAAACTTCAAAGACCTTGCTGCTAGGTAGTATAACGAGCTAGTACCTCTAAATGCATGTCCACGTAAAAACCAACAGACTATGTTTTCAGAACTAAGTCTGGCCTGTTCAACTTACCAGAATTCCCAAATAAATTAACTTCCTCTTCCCATAGAGAAGTACAGCAAGTGTAGAGGGAGGAGAAATAGTCCAGCAATTTTAAGGATATACATCCTAAGATTTTAATATTATCCAAGCTGTGCACAGTTTTAGTAGCATATCCAAATTCTAAAGTTATCTCTCTATTTTATAAAGTTATCTAATACAGTTACATATTCCCCAATTAATAATTTTACATGGGCCATAAAGTGTAAAAGTGATCTTATTAGCCTATAAAATCTCCACTTATTCTTGTAGTGCTGGGCATATAAAAAAACTTATTGATCTAAAAACAAAACTTGAATTTTAAAACATGCTTAAAGTGACATCAAAATTCTTCCCTAAACAACATGGGCTCAATTGGGGAATAAAAGTCAGTATTTTAAAATTTATTTACAGACCAAACATGCCATATTATAAAGCACACATAACGTCAATGTTTGAAAAACTTTGTAAAATGCACAACACATCTAACAACGAGGTGTGAAAGCTAAATAAACACAGTATTCCTCTAAAGTTTTCCTTTAGCAGTTCAGTGAATGCATTCTAAGTTACTTTTCTTAAAAAAAAAAAATCTAAGACTAGAAATGACCAATTCCAAAAGAAATATATACCTATACAATAATTAACCTACCAAACTGAACTATATAAATTATCAATATAAGCAACCTGGGTAAGCCCTAAATTTCATTTGTTACAGCTTACAAAAGAGAGGGTGTAACTAATTTATTCAACTCTTAAACTTTATTCTTTAGACTTTAAGAGAAACATGGAAAGACCTGAACTGTTCTATGTTAAAAAAAATAAATATTAGGGCTGGCCCGGTGGCGCACTGCTACAGTGCGCCACTTGGGAGCGCGGTGGCGCTCCCGCCGAGGGTTCGGATCCCACATACAGACCGGCCGCTCACTGGCTGAGCGAGGTGCGGGCGCGACACCGAGGGTTGCGATCCCGTTGCCAGTCCCGGTCCGGTACGGGCGTGACACTGAGGGTTGCGATCCGTTGCCAGACACGAAAAAGACAAAAAGGAAAAAAAAATTAATTAGAAAGTCCCCTATATCAAGTGCATTAATGGCAGCCATAAATAAAATGCTGAGGCCAAACATACATTAATAGCATACTGGTAAACACTGCAAAAAACACTGTATACATCTTTAAACATTAAGATAAGTATGGCAAACAGGTTTTAATCCACATGCCAACTCTAATAGATTGTTAAGTGGCTGCTTTCATCACAGTATTAAGCTTGGGAGACAATTTGGGGCTTAATGGCCAAGAGGGCCAAAATGGATTATGAAGACCTACCCTTGGCACAAGAGTGTGGTAGCCTGCACTACTCTTGCCCTCAGCCTTAAACTGACAAGACTTTGTACCACAATCCCTTACTTTTGTTTCTGTTTTGGACAGGGTATTTCATTTCTCATCAGAATGCGTCTTGATGTGAAATATAAGAAAACATGTAAACTGTGGGAAAGATGTTTTTTCCTATGTCTGACAAAACAAACAATAAACCTAATATTAGTTTTCTAGAAAGTGGTACATAATGGATGGTTTCGGTTAAAACAACTAGGGTTACATTTTTTTTCAAAAGCTATTCTTATTCATCTAGAAAATTCAGTTATATATGTTTTATATATATATATTTATATACTGTTTTAGGAGAAAACATCAGCATTTCAGCTTGATATTTTAAATAATGCCAATTACGCATTTTTATTTATAACAGTAAAATTTCCCATAAGTGAAACATGTTACAGGTACCTATAAACATCCATTTTTCACTATTTACAATTTGAATAATTGTGGAATGTTTGTATATTGCAACCGAGTTATAGAAAAGTCACATAAACAATATAAACCTGATGCCCAATCCTTTACAAATATGAAATTACTTTCACTGGGTCTTCAAATTGTCAAGTATAAATAGAATGAGGTCAGCAGTACTTAAGATGAGGCACTTTAACAATTACCCAAAAAGGTTACGTGTACAAAGGTGTAAAACAAAACCCTTGATATCAATCTTATCCTTAATTTCAGACGTGATTAATCTGAGATGGTCTATAAGGAGTGTTATAAACTTTTATTTCTTGCTCTTCTGCTTCCACTTGACCCAAGGCAACACAACTGTGAAATACATTAGATACAGACATCACCACAGACCAGTTAATGTGCTCACATACAAATGAATTAAACATCACCTAATGATACTCGGGTTTCAGAAAATGACTATTTCAACACTAAAATTTCTGCAGAATTTTTTCATAAACATGTATAAATACACTAGTCTCCCGAAGGCAAACAGTATGTCTACTGCATCCCTAGACAAGAATGCCCTTGAAATTTATTAACTGAATCACAATTTATACAGTCTTATGTTCTCTTTTAAAATATTGAATTTTAAAAATATTCAGAAATTTAAAAATTAAATTTACCAATACTTTCTAGATTACAATTTTAAGATTAAAAAAAAAAAAAAAAAAGCACAGTAAAGAACAGGTGTTTTGCCAGCGTTTTAAACATATACATTTGATCAACTCATTTTCAACCTTCAGTCATGTTCTCTGCATATTTACACTGCATGTTTTGGTAGTTCAGATAATAAATACTTGGTTAAAGACAACAATTCCTATTTTTCACGAATTCATTATACTATATTTTTTCCAATTGTCTGATTTCAACATTCTTCTATTAGTAAAGAAAACAGCTGACTCAAATTTTAAAGTTTATGTAGAAAGGATTAAAATCTTGGTATGAGAGTTTGTGGATCCATTAACTAAATTTAAGGAAATAGTAGTTAAATCTCATTAAACGTTTATTTCTGGTAGTCTATAATGTGAGTAATTTCTATAGCCGAGATACCCAAATGTCCTTTAATAAAAATAAGAGTCAGTACACACTTGAACATGGGTTAGCTGTTCCAAATCCACTTATCAAAATCACTTGCTCTGTGTGTGTGTGTGTGTGCATATTCACACACACCCCTTAATTCCCTAAGACAGTTTTGCTTCTCTAAAGAGAGAAATTGGCTTTCGATCAATATATTACCAGACACTTAAGTCTCTTCTAAAATCAGAAGCTGGCCAATTTTCAAATAAATGGAAAGCAAAAATACTTATTTAGGATGACAAAAATTAAGCTTGGCAAAAGTAGTGACTTTTATTTACAACTGCAGGTATCAAGATTACAAGAGAAACACACTATTGATACTGTCTGAACAAAAGCAATGATTTATTGGTAATGGCAATGAATGAAACATTGACAGTCTCTGGCGAGAATCAAGCAATTATCCAGGAGCTGTAGATCTGATTGCAATATGGTCTTCCAGTGTCTTTTGTACCTTAGTGGCTTTCTCCTTTTTTGCCAACTACCTAGAAAAACAAAAATAACTGTATGTACATCTTATTTACATTTAGATACATCAGTTATTTTTAAAAATACTAATATGGTAATCATTTTTAAAACCTGGCATTAATTTTATCCTTGAACCTTTTTTGGCATGCAGTGTATTTTCATTGCTGAAGCAAACTGTGACCATCCACCCCTCCCCGCCAGCCATAAGGAATTAAAAACAAAACACATGCAGGCTATTTTTGGTTTTCTTCACTATTTTAAGAAAAAGTAATGAGGTTTTCAAAATAAGGTTGACAGTTTAGAGAAGTTAATAAAAAACATGATGCTTTATGAGTAAAACATACTATTTTTAGGTAATTAAAAATCAAATGTCGATCACAAAATAATCTGGAATTAAGAGAATATGCTAAACTCATGTCTTCATGCCCAAGATGACAGGTTTCTAGACTTTTCGCTCAATATGTAGACATGCAGTGAAAAGAGATTAAAAATGACTAATTTTTCCTGATTTCTTTTTTTAAAACACTGCTTGCTATAAATGTAGTATAAAAATGAAAAAAAATAAATGTTTCTGTCAATGATTAGAAAAATCCGCTCTTGGAGAGTTTTTAAAAATGTCCTGATTGCTATAAATGTGGCAGCATAAAAATGTAAAGAACAAACTTGGTTTCTACCAATAATTATAGAAAACAAATTTTCTGTGGGAGGGTTCTAAAACTATGTTGTAATTGAGTAATTTAATTCACACCAAAATTAATCATTAGATAATATATTCTCACAGCAGAAGATATTGAATGTGTGTGTAGAAAAAGATTTTTTTTGGGGGGTAAGGTATCTATGTAAATTATAAATGTAATTTTAATATTTTAAATTGATTCTATTCCAAATGGTAGGGTTTGTACCAAGCAAAATTCATAAGGGTTTGGTCTAAAACAGAACATAGCTGGGTCAATGTCATTAATCAGGGATTTAAAAACTCTTTCCACTAAATTCCTACTCACACATTGCTAGGAATGCTTTTTTCCCCCAGTCTAAGGAAAACCACTTTTTATTACTTTAAAGGAACTTCTCTCTGGTCCAAAGAAATCATGTTAGCCCAACAAGTCAGAAAGATGATAAAAAGACAGTTTCATAAAAAAAAAAAAATGTGGATTAAGAGTAAGAAATTCAGGTTTTAAGAAACACTAGAAGTTTGGATACATTTGGATCCCTGTATTGGTCAGCTGGCAAAAAAAAAAAAAAAACAGAACCACTAGAAGGAAGGAGAAGTAGCACAATTTGTATTACAGATGAATTTAAGCCAATAACACTGAAAGCATTATTGATCATTAATTATATTATTTAGGAAACACAAAACACAGAGCTATTAGATTAAGCAAAAGAAAACAAAAACAACTATTCAAAATTAAAATTTTAGCAGATGTGACACAGTAGAAGACACAAATCTGCATACTGTTTCACAGGTTGATAACTTTCAACTTGCCAATGTGTATTCTCTGTAAAAAAGAAGAAATTTAGCATTCCAATATGGATTCTCACCCCAAATGTAAAGCTCTCATTCATTCTTAAGTCTTTATATTACACCTCAGAAAAAACAAACACTTAGGTACATCAAAATTAGGTCTCAAAGATATTTATTCAGTAAAGAGTCCATTGATCTTCTATGTTAATATTTTAACCCAGACTACCATTCAGTCCGTAAGTCCTTCAACTGGCCTCGAGCTCACCTGGGTAGGCCAAAGAGAAGGATACGCCTACTATCAATCATCAGAAAGACTTTGGGGCTAACATTCGAATGAGAAAACAAAGCCCACGCTCCTCAACTAAAACCTAATCAACATATTATACCAGTATCGGTATAAAAGTACTTAATTAAATCGTTTTATTTAATCTCTAAAATGATTCCATTGCTCCTAAAAAATAAAATTTAAACTTCAAAATTGATTAAAACACTATCCAACAACAAGTTAAACCTGAAAGCATTTTTAACAATTTAGTTTTAACTGCAATATTACTTCTCAAAATGTAGTACAAAATTAAACATGAAACAGTAGAAAGTAAAAAATAATAATATAAAGTCTGGTGAGCAACATGGTATGGTAATGAAATTAAAGCACCTAGTTGCAAGCCCAAAACAAAATAAAAGGCCAATTGAGAAACATGAGTAGGATGAGATTTGAAGAGAGAGATGGTTGAGGAAATCTAGGTAACAAGAAGGCTGATCCAGATGACAGAAGCTGTAGAAATCTTGCACCAACAATGGCGAGAACACAGGAAGGGTGAGAGCAGACAGGTGCTAGATGAGCAGAGAAGCAAGGAAGGGAGTAGAGTGAGACAAGGTCAATCTTTATATTACTTCATTTTAAAACATCTTCTGTTTTTAGTTCATTTGAGTTGGATTAAAAAAGCTGAAAAATAAACAGACAGAAATGTTACAAAAGTAGCTGATACGGAGAATGGCCAGTTTAGAAAAGTCTATTTTCATTACAGTGATACAAATTTGCTCTGCTTTTCACATGCACCTCATTCCCTAAGAAGCAGAAGCCCCTACAATTTTCTCATTTTTACACACATAAAGCAATCCATGTGAAGAACATCTTTTTAGCAAAGAAAACATGCACTTCCAATTAAGATGGCAAGCTTTTCATGCTGCAACACAAAGAATCCATTTAAAACAACAAATAGCCAAAGTATATATTATAATCTGTGCATGATGGCTACAAGAGCCAAAAACAGACAAGTAGAAGGTATATTTTAGGGTATCAAATCTTAAAAATATAACTTTACACAGCTGTAACAGCATGCAAGGTGATCTAAGAATTCTATCCCCATCCAGGGTTCATCAGCATTACCTTAGCTTCTGTCATCTTAGTGATATAAGGTCAGTGACATTCTGAAAACTAAAATTATCTAGAAACAACTCATGCAACATAAAAATGCAAACCAAAAATGCTAAACGCTGAATCTACTTTATCATTGATTAAACCAATTAATATAGATCACTTCAATACATTAAAAGGTTATCAAAACTTTCCTTCCTATGCCTATATGTTAATCCCTTTCAAATCCAGGCTGACTGAACAAGTAAAAACAAAGAAGTACAAAACTTGACTTGTCCTTGAATCCTGTACCTTCCTACTTTCATATCCAAGTCTCTACTTTTCCATTCTTCCTAGGGTGCCCATTTCTATCTTTTCCTCTATCCAAATTCTATGCTCAAGAACTTAGTTCAGGGCCAGCCTGTGGCTCACTCGGCAGAGTGTGGTGCTGATAATACCAAGGCCATGGGTTCGGATCCCATATAGGGATGGCTGGTTAGCCCACTGGGTGAGCATGGTGCTAACAACACCAAGTCAAGGGTTGAGATCCCCTTACCAGTCATCTTTAAAAAAAAAAAAAAACTTAGTTCAAGGCCCTCTTTCTCCACAAAGTATTCTCATATTTTCCCAGTCATTGTTGAGAAGAAGGAAATGTCACTGGGTTGGCTGGGAAAGTTTCAGAATAGAAGAGACCCTTGAACTAAGCTTTGGTTAATTTTGGTTAACTTTCCATATGTTTGTGTAATATCCTACATGAGTATAAGGTCATGTGTAGACAGGGATCATCACTGCACTAACATAGTACTCTACGGACAAAAAGTATCATATCACACATTTCTTATTTCTTTTATTAGAAACCAGACTCTTATAATTGTTCATAAGCAACTCTATCTATACAAGGACCAAACTGGCCAATTTCAGTTAAACATAAATCATCTAATTTTTTTACTACATTGAAGCTATTGCTTTGCATAATATAAAAATAATAAAAGATTAACTTAGTTTTGAGAAATAACCCTACAAGACAATGAATGACTACAAGCAGAACAAATCTCATTCAGAAACTATTACAAGGAAATGGAATGCAATATTAATATATATAAGAAAATCATTCAACCAGTTAAAATTATCAAACATTAAAAGCAAGGGGCTAAGAAGCACAGAACAATGACAAGAAAGTCCATTACAGTATTCAAATTATTCTCATAGCAGTTAAAGTGTGGTCTGGCCTAGAATCTTTGAAATCCTTCTTTTCAGGTAGTCTGCGAGGTCAAAACTATTTTCATGATAATGCTAAATTATTTGCCTTTAACTCTCATTCTCTCACAAGTGTACAGTGGAGTTTTCCAGAGGCTACAAGAAATGTGATATCACAATTGACTGAATGCAGAAGTAGATATGAGAATGAGAGGACTCTTATCAGGCTAGACAGTAAAGAAATTTTAAAAATTATAAAACAAGGCTCTCCTTACTAACCTAGTTTTTCTTTTAGAAACTGTGCTTATTTTTAATTAAAAACATAATTTATGTTAACTTGTAATGGATCTACTACTTGTAAATGAATATTTTTAAAGTTTCACAGTTTTAACTTCCAGTATGGTAAAGAATAAATACAGCCCCCATAAACAAAAGTTCTTTTTGGTCCTCAATCATATTTAATAATATAAAGCGGTCCTGAGACCCCCCAAAAAAAAAAAAAACTTAAAGGAAGAAATAGCTGTTAAAAAACAAACACAAACACTCTCAAGCAAGAAAAGTTTTTAACACCTTTGCTATCCTGAAGACAGCCCAGAAGAAGGCAGTCAAAAAAGAGAAAAGACTAGGCTAGAAGGGGTCTGAGGGGTGTTAAAAACAATGAGGTAGAGACAGATACTTAGATGAACAATTATTAATGTATATTAGAAAAACAATAACTGAATGGCAGGCTGGTAAGAAGATGGACAAAACAGAATGTTACTTACAGAAAAAATGGAAACCAAACAGCATGAGACGAGGTGAGAAACAGGAAACTACAGCCAAATTAATAGTATAAGGAAACAGTAAGACCTATAGTAAGATATTATGAAAGAACTAAGCTAATAACAAACTATGCAAAACATAATTAAAGCCAAGTCCAATGGCATTTAATTCAAATCAGCAAATCAGCAAAGCAGCCAAAACATCTTTGTTGCTCACACATTTTCTCAGTAAAATGTATTTCATTTCATAAAAATGTAAATATTTAATCTCTGCTTCTTTTGACCTGTCATTATACATATGTCATACATGTGTAGACATGACAGATCTAAGTACAAAATTATTCCTGCAGCTCCCAAAAGTTAGTTAATTATGCTGTGAGACAGGAAGATAGTACTGAAAAATGACCAGTTAAAATAGCTATTGTCAAAGTTTTCAATTTTGTAAAAAGAACATACAATTTTATGTTCATCCATTGTTATGCAATTTAATAATTTTTCTGCAATTTAATTAAAATCAGATCTATAGATACCACCAAAAACAGTAAGAGTTCTCAGGATGTTCTATAGCTCCAATTCCCCAGACAGGGTCTGCTGAGAGGCTCTTCCTCTAGGAATTGGTGGCCCTAGGGAAATTTTTCCTCTCCTTTAATTACCTCAAGTCCTAGACTGCCCGCCAGATGCAGCCCATCAGAAATACTGTAATACCTATGTCTCCTATGCTGCCACATATTTAAACTTAATACAGTTGTCCTTCAGTATCCTTAGGTGATTAATTCCCCTCTCCCTCCTCCTCGGAAAACAAAATCTGAGGATGGTCAAGTCCCTTTGATAAAACAGCACAGTATTTATATGTAACCTACACACCTCCTCCTGTAAACTTAATATCATCTCTAGAGTACTTGTAATACCGAATACAATGCCTACACATCACTTCATTTGCATGGATTCAACGTAAGACTCAGCCTGCAGCAAATTCAAGTTTTGCTTTTTGGAACTACGTGGAATTTTTTTCTGAATATTTTTGATCCATGGCTGGCTGAACCTATGGATGTGGAATCCACACGTATGGAGGGCCAACTGTATAGCAACTGGGGTTTTTGCACTCAAAGTTCTCAGTGGCACTTCTGTTATCTGTGGTTGTGTACTTAAGAATCACCCTATGGAACTGTTACCAATCAGAAGTTGTTCCAATAATACACAAAAGAGATTATTAGTCTTTATTCCTAAAGATCCCACGTACCCTATAAATTCTTTGCAAACCTTAGGATTGTGTTCTTTACCAAAAAAATAAAATATATATACATATATATCAGCATGCATACACACATATATATGTAGAAATGTATATATAGAGAGAGAAAGAGATAAAAATATATGAGAAAACCCACCTGCTCACTGTGAATTTACTGCTGAAATGTGCTCTTTCAACACAGACATGGTTTGGAAAGTTAGCATGCCAGTGTATTAAAACTTAGTCTATTCTTTTTAAATAAAATATTCAAATCATTTTAAATGTTTTCATCAGGAAAAATGAGCATCAAAATCTTAATATCAGCAAAGTTCTTAAAATATCACTACTTTCAAATAATGATTTAACTTTCATCTATTTTTCCATTATTCCTAACTACTTTCTATAACCAAACTATTATTTTTACCCTCTTATTTAGATATTCGTCATTATTAAACACTATGAGGGTACTTCGAAAAGTTCATGGAAAGGTTTTAATTCTATTTTCCAAGTACTCTCATATATCAGTTAAGTCATCATTTTTATTAAAGACTCTTTTTAGTTGGATATCTAAAAGTGTGATTAGAATTTACTGTTCTAGTTTAACCTTATACAATTTCATAACATGATACGATTTTGGATCTTAACGGTTAAAAAAAAGTATGACTATTGAAATACATGAAATTATTCCTTAAAATTATATTTTTATTTCACCTAAATATCGCTTAAACACACTTACTCGTTTGAAGTCATTCATATTTGTTGCCTGGACTGGAGTACCAATAAAAGTAAAATATGAAATTCTTGTTGTTTCTTCTTCACCTTGATTGGACTGAACAAATATCTACCAAAAAATAATTTTTTTTTTTACAATTACAATCCTTTTTCATGAACATATTTTAAGTTTAATCAATTTCTTTAAATTATTAATAAAAATACCCTTCATTCCTTATAAGGATTAATCTGAATTATGTAATATTTAGACTAGTACTCCTATAGGACTATTAATTCCACTATTTGCTCTGCTATTCTCACCTTCTCCGGGGATGTCATTGGCAAGACACCTACATACACAAGTTCATGATAATTGAGTGTGATGGAATGGAGGAGTCATAATTAAATTCTTTACACAGAATGATGAAAGAGTATGATATTCATGATTATAATGGGGCAGACTGCTGTTGAAAATTTGATTAAAACCACAGTTTTTCACTGAGGAAAATCTCTGCAGTTATATTCTTTCTGATAGTCATGCATCCATTTTATTTCCTAGAATATTAAAAGAAAAAATAGTATTGGAAATCAGCTCCTAAAACTATACTATGCCCACCATATTTTTTTAAGCTTGATTCTTTATACTTTCTATTTTAAACCCCTTAGCATGTTAAGATTTAAGCTTTACTCATAGATACTTTTTCAATATAGTGGATTTTTTTTTACTTGTTCCATTTTTAAAAACACAATACTCTAGATGTTGTCTACTTTAAAATATTGGTCAGTATTTGTTATTGTTTTCAAAGGCAACCATAGTTTCATTTCATACTGAGCTTACCATCAATTTAAAAAAATCTATAAGTAGACTATTAAACCATCTCTGTTTATTGGCATTATTGTGTTTGTTCTTTGAATCTAAGCACAACAGTTTATATTTACTGCTTTTAAAATTCAGCTATTTGCTTTGATTACTCTGATCAAAACTGTCAGTGTGATTCTAATTTTATCACCAAAAAAAAGTGATAGGCACAGCTTCTATGTCTTGACTTACGTCACTGACTAAAGTTCTGACTAAAATAGGACAGGGCATAGTACATAAAAACTTCAGCCTACCACAAGATAACTATCTTTGGTGATTCCCGATGACAGAGAAAAGATTACATCAAGATCTCTAGGACATAGGGCTTTTTCCAATAAAGAAATAACCAGTAACTTCCTCTCCATCACTAAGTAAAACAAAAGGTATTATTAACGTGGAATATGTTACAAATATGAGTAAAGTCAGGAAAATATTTGATAGTCAGTGTCCTAAGTTCAATATATCCATTTTTTTCAATTTCATTTAGGTGGGATATTTCAAATACTTAAAACTCAACTTGATTATAATTCTTCATATTACTACTAAGTATATTCCATGAAACTCCATGAAAAACCTCCTAAAATTAACAAATACAATAGCATTCTTCTAACTTACAAAAACAGGATTATTCCAATAAAACAAAGAATTATATCAGTTTGGCATGACTTATTCTCAGTGACTCTGTGCTTGTTCCTACTTTTTCTTCTATATATTCTCTGCTATTCTTTTCTAACATCCTACACCCTCCTCTGAAGGACAGGGAAGGCAGGGAGGAGGAGTGTGTACTAGGTTTCAGCACTAAAATTCTCAAAAGCAATCAATGACTGCATAAAAGCAGCTAACTTATCAGTGGCATTTCTATAACGACATTTAAAATCCATCACTTATCATCATCTCAGGCACTATTCAATATTCAGATAAGCCTTAGGTCATTTTATAAAATGTAAAATAATCTTTTTAAAAAGTCATTTTTACTGAGATCATGACCACTACACTATTAAAAACTCTATATTACAGATAAGTAAATAGGACTTTACAAACGTATCATCACTCATCACCAGGTATGAAGGATACAGCACATGTATGGTGAGTTTAAGCACAGATATTCTAGAAGAAACTTAACAAAAGTTGCCATATATATGAAACAAATAAACTGACAAAATCCACAATTATTTATAAATCAACCTGTCCTTCCTCTTTAGGGTATACAGAAAAATTAAAAAGAAAATTTAATTAGCCCATTATACATTATTCTCATTTCAAATTGAGTGGGCAAACACTACTTTAAAGGATTATTTAGAATCACCTAGGATACTGAAGATGGCATAGGTACCCACAAACCCGTTAAATATATCTGAATGAAATACTACTTACAGTTACACTGTTAACATTCTGAAACTTAACATAACGAAGCGGGACAATGCCATCTTCTTTAATATCATCTTCTGACAGCTCCAGAGCTTGAGTTGGTTCACTTCTTTCTGCCTCTTCAAAATCCATAGATCGGGGTAGGTTGATAAAAATTTTTACATATTTAGGACCCTGACCTAAAAATGATAGAATAAAATGAAATGATAAAAACCACAGACATATTATACTGTCTTTCCTTTATTCTTACACTAACACTGTAGACACATACACACACTATACATATATACCTTTGTACACCTCTATGGTTAGGACTTCTAAGAACGTCTGAGTATTTTCACAGTCAATCTTTTCTTCTCCCAATACATATTTACCACTACCTTCTTGGTCTAGTCAGCACAACACTAAATATTAGGAATGAGATTAAAACACATACGTACACATGCATACATGCATTCTTGTATATACACGCACAGTCCTTGCCCTCAACTACAAAAGACATATTATAATAAATGTAATGTCACTGGTGAGGAGGTATAAGGAAGGTGGCATGAATTGACAGTATATGAAAGTTAACAAAGTTTCATTAAAAATAACATTTGAGCTAGGCCTTGCAGTTGCCAATAACTGGTGCATTTTATTTGGGAGGGAAACATTATCAGTGGCTATATTTAGCCAAAAGGGAATTAATCATAAAAATTGCCAAATTTCATTTTAGGAATTAGAATAGGATGTGCTCAGTGGTTAAGACCACATGTAAATTAACCCCTTTAACTTCAGGGTATAGTTTAAGACACACATTGTATCTGATAAAGGAATATTAACATTCAATTCTATAGCATTTGCTTATAGAAATACTTTGTATTTCAGAAAAGCACAACTTTATTAATAAAAAATTATTAACATATAAAAACTTAGATTAATAAATAAGAAAATCTATCTCATAAATAGGGCTCTGGCTGTTTCTCCCAAATCAATTCTTTGAAAAAGAAAACCATAGTCTATACTCTCCTACCTACCCCCCTCCAAAAAAAAAAAGAAAAGAAAAAAAAGCTCAACGAAAACAAAAAAAGGGGGGGGAGAGGTGAAGAGAAAAATTTTTTATTTTCCAAAGAGAGAAATCCTGTGTTTACATGCATAGATATAAAGATGATACTATTAATGGAGTACAAATAGGAAAATCTGGAGCCTCAGTTTTATCATTTATGAGGGGGTTGAAATAAATCTATCCCAGATTTGATTCTAAAAAATGGCTGCTTAGAACCTACAGTTTTAGAATACTAGTTGGAAGAAAGGAGGCAGTAGTTTCCAGATTAAAAGGAAACAATCAAATTAAAAAAAAATTTAGAAAAGAAATAAATTAAAATTTCTCTTCCTTTTTTTACCTTCAGTCCCTAATAATCTCACATTATTTCCTCTATTCATTTATATCATTGCTTTGTTCCAAAACAACTTCACTCCTTCCTAAAACAAGGAATATCTACCTTTATTTAATAAAAGGTTTCAAATAAATGCTAACAGGTCTATAAATCAGAAAGATACTTTAGAGAAAAGTTGTCCTTTACTTACCGTTATCTGGTCCTTGAAATTTCATGGAATAAAGCTTAACAGGCTGATTGAATGCCACAGTAATAAGTAGCTGTGGAAAAAAGTTTGATTTTAAAAGGGCTCTTGAATACCTTAAATACACAAAATGCCATAGCAGGATTAAAATAACAGAGGCAGAAAAATATCTAATTTATCCAACAAAACCAACATAATATGGAAAATCAGTAAGTTGAAAGTAACTTATTAGATTGACAATAAGAAATACCACAATCAATTATTTATATAATGAAATGGCAAAAAAAAAAAAAAAAAAAAAAATTAAACTAAATGCATATTAAAATTATGCATAAGAACCTAAAGTCTTGTGACCTATAAACTGACAAGCAACCTGCTTTCCAACAAATCAAACAAAATCCCCAAATTAAAATAAAATTTAAGCTATATATTTTAGCATATAGGATGATTTGCTATATGTATCACTTGACAATTTGAAGACAATGCACAGGTTATACAGAGAGACTGGCCCTCAAATGGACTCCGACCCAAAACTCAAGAGTAGGACTCTTTAGAGCTCTACAGTACTTGCCAAACCTCCATCTTAAACTCATTTGACCAACTGAATCTAGAAGGCCACATAAGGGAATTGGGATATGAAACACTGTGCCTGTCTCTCAGAAACTCTGAGTCATTCACTCAATCTTCTTTCCAGCCAAAATTGTGTCTGATGTAAGTACCTACGCCCCTACCATGGAAGGAAGATTTCCCTGCAAGAAAATTTTAGGGAGACTGTAGCCAGTCTTGCTAGTACGCACCATCGCATTATTTTTAGGGAACCATTTACAGTTTAAATGATGCTCTCAAAGCTGTATAATAAGGTGGCTCTGGGTAGAACAAAAAAAGATAGGATTTAGATTTACGATTTCAGAATCATATTGTGATCTGTCTACCTAAGAAAATAACCAGACTATTTCCTTTGGTTGCACCAGTACTTTTTATACTTGTATGTTTAGGGAACTGAACTGCAAGTGAAGAGCAGGAGGTGAGACTGGAAAGCTAGAAACAGATTAAGTCAGCAAGACATCCTTTTCCTGAAGCCAGTGAAGAATTATTTAACTCTTTTAAGATAGAGAAACATGCAGATTTACACTTTAGAAAAATATCTTTTGTGACCATGTAGAAGATGAACTGAAAGAGGAACAAACCAGACAACAGAACAGAAAGTAAATTAAGGAAAATAACAGCCAGCATGAAGATAAAGATGGCTTGATTAAGATGGTAATACCCTACTTCCTCTGTGACAAGGACAGTACAGAGAAGCATAGGGAATACAATACAGATTTGTATCTGGGAATGAGGGTCTAGCCACATATGGAGTGTTCATCTATCAGTCTATTTCTCAGACTTATCTGGGTGGGAAAAACATAGTGAAGGCAGGTCAAGGACAAACAAAAGGCCCAAACAATCGTGATCGCTCAATTCATCAGTGGAGCTAATTCAAGTATTCTATAACTGTCCTTAGTGGACCTAGCAGTTTGCACAGAAGAACAGAGAAAGGTAGTGGGTCTGTATGGTCAAAGGACAGGAGTCATAGAAACTGAAAGGTATAAAAAGGAAAGAAAGAAGTGATCATCTGGGAAGGAGAGGCATAAACCATGAGATGGGAACATGAAAAAAAAAGAACAGGAGTAAACAGGGATAATCCCTACAAGTCTTAACTTGGAGCCTTCTCCCAAGCATTAGACCAAGTGGCAATAAAGCTTTTTGCAGGGGAAAAAAAAAAAAAATTAAGCATTTAATTACCTGTTCATCACAGTCAGATTCCAAGAAGGTCAGGTCTTTTCTTAAACAGTTATCAAATCCATGCTCATCACTTTCATTAAGACATTCACAACCAGCTTTGTTAATGAAAGGCATTAAATCCATCTGAAATAAATTAAGACTTTAAGCAAAGCATCTGAATTTGGTATAAAAATGTTAATAAAAAATTTAAACGTGTGATTCTCTCTAGACTGTGCAGTTTTAAAGAAAACTTCTCTTTTAAAATAATTACTAAAACTTTTATCATAGTCCTTTCCTTTTCACTTCTGACTCAGATCTACCACTAATTATTAAAACCAAATCTTGGCTTAGTCCATTCAGTAAAGTATCAGAAACTAAGTCTTTAACATTAAGATTACAAAACGTTGACTTATACTTTTAAGTGAGTGTTGTGAAAAACATGCAAATTAAAATGTGTAAGACCCCAAAAAGCCTATCTTCCTCTTCTAGTGACCATGGACTCTAAACCTATATCCATAGAGGTTAGATTTAAGATGAGTAGCAAACAAGGACTTGAAATGTTTTTATTACAGAAAATTTCAAACATACATAAATACAATAATATAGTTAACTCCATGTACTTATTACCCCTAGCTACAACAATCATCAACTCATGGCCACTCTTATTTCATCTTTACACCCCAACCACATCCTAACCCTCCTCCTGATTATTTTGAAACACATTTAGACACCTTTTCATTTCATCCATAAATATTTCAGTGTGTGTTTCAAAGAGATAATCCTTAATATCATCACAACTAAAATAATGAATACTTTAATATCATCAAATATCGGTGTTCAAATTTCAAACTATCTCCTAAATGTTTTAGTTTGTCAGACTCAGAATAAAGATCCAAAAAACGAATAAACATTGTATTTTATTAAAATGTCTCTTAAATCTCTTTTAATCTATATTAGGCTATAGATTTCTCAATACTCTGGACTTTGCTCGTTGCTTCTCTGTGGTGTCAGTCAGCATATTCCTGTCTCCTGTACACTGTGTTGGCTAATACTTCCATACTTCCAACACAGCGTGAAAGAGTTGTGGTGACAATGGTCATGCTTATCTTGTTTCTGACTTCAGTGGAATGCCGCTATTGTTTCCCCATTAACATTTTATTCAATGCTTTAGGAATAAATAGATATTGAATTTTGTCAAATGCCTTTTCTGAATATTTGGAGATCATGATCTTTTTCTCCTTAGCTCTATTAATAAGACAAATTATAAAAATGAACTTCCTAATAGTAAACATTTCTTGCATGCTTGAAATAAACCCAATTTTGAGCATGATAGTATTTTTTTAATGTACCATTACATTGTTGGATTTTGTTTAGTAACATTTTATTTAATATTTTTAACACCAATATTCATAGTTGAAACTAGTCTGGGGCTTTCTTTTTTGGTGCATACTCTGTCAGATACTGGGATCAATTTCATATTGGCTTCAAAAGAAATTTGGAAGTTTTCTCTCTTTTTATTTATGTTCCTAAATAGTTACAGTAAACACTAGATTACCTGATTTTTAAGATTTGGCAACATTTACCTGTGAAATCTTATGAGCCTTTATGGAAGAGATCTTTTACTATTTCTTCTATTTCTCTACGGTAATTGGCCTATTTAAGTGTTCTACTTTCAGTGGAGTTGATTTTGGTAAACTTTTTTTCTAGAAAAGTATCCATTCATCTATTAAACAAGGACTATTTTTAAAGTTTACCAAGTATTATAGACTATCAGTTGCATGTTCACCTATCTATCACAAAAGGTCTTCATTATGTTTTTTTATCCAAAGTATACTAGTACACATGTACATAGTTCTGAAAGACTGAAGAAAACTTTTTGCATGTCAAATAAATATCAGAATGGTAATAATCCATTAGTATAGACCCCTAATTATTCATAGAACAGCTTAAATGCTTTCAAAGCCAAAATGTTATGTAAATATATTATGCAGGATAACATATTGTAGCCGATTTAAAAAGATGGAGAAGAAAAAAAGGAGAACTACAGAGCAAAGTTCTATTATAGTGGAAGTATTCTGAACTTCATGAACATTTGCCCTGAAAGGGCAGTTTTGACAAAATATTTTAAATGTTTATGTCTACCGCTCTACTTAAATGCCACATCAAAACTATAAGGATTAAGACCCCAGGCAAGAAGACAACATTACAGTCATACTTCCACTACCTTAATGGTGAAACTAAACTAAATGTGTGAATTCTTTAAAATAATTTTTATTTTTATTTATTGTGGAGCACAGAAAACAAGAATCACACTTAAATAGCTGCATTAGTGTTTTGTTGTACCACACTGGGACAAATTGGCATTATATTGCATATATAATTGCATATTGACATATTCTGAAAACATACAATGAAAAATAAATATTACTACCTATGTAATCAACCTGCCAATAACAAGGAAAGAATTATGAGAAAACGATCAGATAAATCCAGATAAAAGTCTAGGCCTGCGCTGTCCAATAAGACAGCCATTAGCTTTGTGTGGCAATTTACAATTGAATAAAAATTAGGTTAAAATTCAGTTCCTCAGTTGTACAAGTCACATAATGAATGTTCAATAGACACATGTGCCTACTGGCTACCATATTATTAGACTTGTGCTGGTTTACACTTTCAAAAAATTTGGTCATGAAAGAAAAGAGTGAAAAGTTTCTAAAAAACACTGAAGAGAACTAACAACTTAAGTGCAACGCATAATCCTTGATTTTATCCTAGATGGGAGAAAAACAGCTATAAAGAACATTTGGGGGATAATTAAGTAAATATAAATATAGGAAGTTACAGATATTGTATCAATATTAAATTTCTTAAGAGTAATAATAGCATCATGGTTATATAGGAGAATATTCTTGTTCTTAGGAGCTAAATTCTTAAATATTTAGTGAGAAACCATCGTGATGTCTATAACTTGTAAATGATTCTGCAAACAATTAAAGCAGATAGCAAGACACAGCAAAATAGCAAAATGTTTACAACTGATGAACACAAGTGAAGGGTATACATTAGTCTGTTGTACTACTCTGTAGATCTTTTTTGTTTGTTTTAAATAAGTTTCATCCTTTTTTGGTGGGTGAGTGGGGAATCTAAGACAAGACATGCAAGGAAGTTAGAAAAACCTTTCCAAGGTTTTGGTTCAAGAAACCTTTGTCTACTTACTACATAAAGATCGAATTTTGGTTTAAAAAAAAAAAAAAGGTTTGTCTACTTACAACATAAATTAGGGTTATATAAAGTTTGATTTCATTTTGGTGATGACAAATTTGCAGACCAAAACTTATAGTTCACAGATCAGAATACTGAAATACACTAACAAGCCTAAAGAATCAGAAAAGCCAATGCAAGTTCGACTCAAGAATGCCCAGCATTCAAACTTCTGGAGAGAAGAAGGCTTGATTTAGAGGGCATGCAGGGAGCTATTTGACCCATACTATATACAAACTACTCTTAGCAAGTAGGGGAGAGGAGATATAATGTTTTGCATGTTTCCAAACTTCAATAGGCATTTTTTAAAATTAAGCCATTCATTATATTCACAAAAGCATTCTCTTCTGAATAAGAATCTATTATAATTATTAACCTTTCGAGTATCCTACCTACATCTTTTGCAATACTTCAAACCCCCCCCCCCC